AGGCTGGCTGGGGAAACAAGCCCACACAAAGCCCTGGCCCCCTGCCCATGGTCTGCTCCACACCACCCGCCCCAGACACAGACCATGCCCTCACCGCTGGGCGTTTGCATCCTCAACACCAGCGAGCCCCAGGGCAGAGCTGACCAGGCTGCTCCAGAGCCCGTCGGGGTCTCCAGCGTCCAAGGCTCTGTTAACTAACGCCACAGCCGAAAGCATCTCCAGAGCCACAAACAGCTCCTCCTGCACCAGCTCACCCTGCATGGGGCAAGGCAGAGACACTGAGACCCCCATAACCCATCCTTGACCTGATCGCTCTCTCCAACTGCCTGACAGGAGGATGGAGCCAGGAGGGGGCTGGTCTCTGCGCCCAAGGAACAGGGGGTGGGACAAGAGGAACCAGCCTCAAGCTGCCCCAGGGCAGGTTTAGCTGGAGCTGAGGAACAATTCCTTGCCCAGAGGGTGCTCAGGCATTGGAACAGGCTGCCCAGGGCAGGGCTGGAGGCACCGTCCCTGCGAGTGTTCACAGCCCGGGTAGACGAGGCCTCAGTGCCAGGGGTTAGTGGCGGCCTTGGCAGTGCTGGGGAGCCCCCCCAAAACTATCCGAGGTACCGATGGGACCCAGCACCCTCCCAGGGGGAGCTCACCCGCGGGTGCTGGCTCTGCAGCAGGGCCAGTTGGTGCTGGTACAGGGGGGCAGCGAGCGGGTACACGTCGGGCAGTTGGGCTGTGGGATCCATCAGCGCTTCCAAGGTTTCGGCTGGTTTTCCATGGCGGATGGCTGCGTTGATCCGCCTGATGGCCACTAGCACTGAAGGAAGATACCGGCGTGAGACACTTGGCCACAGGGCCACCAGCTCCAAGGGGACGCACCAGGCAGCAGAACCCACCTCAAGCACCATAACCTGCCCCGAAACCCCCACGTTCCCCCAGCTACTCACTGGCTCGCTCCTCCTCGCCCTTCCTGTTCGCCATGAGGATCCCAGCTTGCAGCTCCTCCTGCTCCAGCAGGTCCACATAGCCCAGCTCCTGCAGCAAGAGGAGCTTCTGTGTCCCACCAAACCCCGCTTGCGTTTTTTGCTGCCACGCTCAGACCCAGTGCAGGGAGATGCTGATCCACAGTGACCCCCTGCTCAGGGGGACCAGCACCCAAACATCCCCAGGCTCCTCCAGCCCCTACCAGCGCCTTCTGCTCCCGGTCCATGTTGAGCTGCTCCAAGTAGCGGTGGAGGTTGTCGCGTTGGAGGCAGCGCAGGGCCAGGACGGGGTCCTGGAGCGCACGGTAGAACGCCAGCACATCCTGCTGCTCCAGGGCATCGTCCACCTCCTCCAGAGCTGCGTACACTAGGAGAGGACATTCACACCCAGACAAGGTGAGTGAGGGGGTGACCCAACGGCTCCAGGAGCAAAGGGAGCTGCAGATGAGGCTTGAATCATGGAATCAACCAGGGTGGAAAAGACCTTTCAGCTCACCAAGTCCAACCGTTCCCCTGCTCTTGGAAAAGCCCCAGAAGACCCAGCCCAGGCCCCCAGAAGAGCTGAAGCCCGAGGTGATGGCTTCTTTCTGCTGTGCCCCCCCCCCCAGGCAGCCTCTCCCTGCAGCCCGGGGTACCACAGGTAGAGAAGGCACAAGCTTTACTCACCATTCGCTTTGTTGATGTTCCCTTGGATCTCAGCCTGGGTCAAACAGTGGTCGTAGATGTCCTCTCCCTCGGGGATCACTTGCAGGAGCTGCAGAGGGACTCCTCACCCTGAGCATGCACCCCAATGGCACACAGCAGATCCCATGCAGATGCCTCCAAGCCCCTGTGCCCAACCTGGCCTTGAACCCTGCCAGGGACGGGGCACGCAC